GGGTCTGGAACAGCCTGCCATCAGAGGTGGTTCAAGCACCTACATTGAACACCTTCAGGAGCAAATTGGATGCTTATCTTGCTGGGATCCTCTGACTCCAGCTGACTTCCTGCCCTTTGGGTGGGGGGCTGGACTCGATGATCTTCCGAGGTCTCTTCCAGCCCTAATGTCTATGAAATCTATGAAATCTATGAACTTTCTCCTTTAACAGGAAAGAATCAAAACTAAGCTAACATTGCTTAATTTAAGTCTGAATGTGGTGAGATGGAGGGGGCAGGGTGGTTTACTAAGTGGTTTCAGCATCAGGCTTTTAACATACTTGGCCCCCACACTGCTGTAGGATTAAACTCCATCCTTCTCAGTTTGAAAAATCCAGATCCCGCTAGTTTTGCTCTGTTTAGGCTATTTCAGATCAGGCCATCAAAACCAAGGTCCAGTGTGCTCTTATGTTGACCCTGACAGTCCCAGAGGTTTTTGTGCACACTCTGCCCTGATGTTCTTAGATCAATGTCCCCCTTTTCTTTTGTACAGGGTCTTGCCTGCAACTCTGCTGCTACTCTTGCCCTGAGAGTGTGCTGTATCAGTGGTCCTTCCAAAGGAAAAACACTCTGGGAGCCTGAAACTGTTCAGAAATGAACAGCAACAGGACCTGTTTTGGCAGACTGCAAGTCCTACTAAGAAGGAAGGGTGATACTATGATGAAGCCACGAAATCCCAGGAGATGTGGGTTGGAGTTCAACTCTACCAGCCTCACCAGGTGCCTTTCAACAGGTCACCAACTCTCTCTGCCTCAGCTTCCTCACAAGATGAGCAGAACAGATGGCAGATAAGCACTTTGGAGATTAAACTGATGGCTGCTTATTAAGAATGTGGAAACTCCTTCAGTCTAGGGTGCCAGGGAAATGCCTTGTATTTAGATTCATAGATGTTAGGGGCTGGAACGGATCTCTTGAGATAATCAGGTCCAGCCCCCCTGTGTTTGGGCAGGAAAGACTGCTGGAGTCAGATGACCCCAGCAAGGTGAGTATTACAACTGCGTGAAACGGAAGCATTTCATTTTGACCACCGTTTCAACATTTCACCTGAACAGTGTTTCACTTCGACTTTTGTTTCCAGTCAAAACAGCTGTTCCGTTTCACTCCATCGAAACGTTTTGCCGTTTCGCCCATAGGATATAATGGGGAAGGTCGAAACAGGCTGTAACTTTGGCCAGATTTGGATAAAACATGCAGGAATGGTAGCCCCTTCTGAGAGCATGATGAATGCCAAGTTTCAAGAAGATAGGTGCAGGGGATTCAGAGGAACTGCACCCCAAAATCTTGAGAGCAAAACTCATGTCACGTATACATGTTAAGCCACAGTGGGGTCAAGACTGCAGGCATGCTAGACCCTGCTGAGGCCACAAAGCCTGCTAAGTTTCAAGGAGATACTGGGGGGTGGGAAAACTGCACCCCAAAATCTTGAAAGCAAAACTCATGTCACTTGTGTGTTAAGCCACAGCAGGGTCAAAATCACAGGGGTGGTAGCCCCTGGTGAGGCCACAAAGCCTGACAAATTTCAAGGTGATAGGTACAGGGGTTTGGGGGAGACTGCACGTTAGGCTGCTGACAGGCAAAACTCGTGACATAGATGACGCTGTGTGTGTTAAGGTGCAGCAGGGTGAAAACTGCAGGGGTGGTGGCCCCTGCTGAGGCCACAAGCCTGCCAAGTTTCAAGGAGATAAGTGCAGGGGTTTGGGGGAAACTGCACCACAGCCTATGGACAAGCAAAACTCGTGACATGGGTGCTTGTACAGCTGTGTCTTGGGGGTGTGGGGGGCGACACTACTGCAGGCCTGGCTGCTAAGCCACTGTTACCAGTTACCAATTAATCATGATTCACTCAGGGACCAGCTCAATACACAATACCTAGCTACTACATAATGCTACCACATAATAACTTAACGAGCATGGATTAACACCTACAAAACCAGGACTAAGGAGAGGAAATAATCAATACAGACAATCAACTGCCCCAAGACAGACACAGTTGCACAAGCACCCATGTCACGAGTTTTGCCTGTCAGCAGCTAGGGGTGAAGGGCCCCAGAACCCCGCTGCACTGATCTCCGTAACAGCTGGCAGGTGTAGTGGCTGTAGCAGGGGCTACCATCCCTGCAGCTTTCACCCCGCTGCGCCTTAACACACACAGGGTCACCCAGGTCATGAGTTTTGCTTGTCTGCAGCTTGAGGTGCAGTTTCCCCAAACCCCTGCACGTATTTCCTTGAAACTTGGCAGGCTTTGTGGCCTCAGCAGGGGCTACCATCCCTGCAGTTTTGACCCGGCTGTGGCTTAACACATACACGACATGAGTTTTGCTTTCAGGAGTTTGGGGTGCAGTTACTCTGAACCCCCTGCATCTATCTTCTTGAAACTTGGCAGGCTTTATGCCCTCAGAAGGGGCTACCATTTCCTATGGGTGAAACATTGAAACAGCATCGAAATGGTGAAATGTTTCGACTTGCCTCGTTTTGTTTCAAGGATTCTTCGACCATATCTATTTTATTTCGATTTTGCTGTTTCAACCTTGAAACAGGTCAAAACAGTGTCAAAACAAAACTGGTGGCAAAATTTCGCACAGCCCTAGTGAGCATCCAGGCATTTTTTGAGGATAACCAGAGTAGGTGATCATACCACTTCTGGGGGGAGTCTATTTCAGACCCTGGACACTCGAGTTGTAAAGAAGTTTTTCCTCATGTCTTAATCTAAAGTGGGCTTCTGGCAATTTATGACCATTAGTCCTAATCTTCCCCTGGGGAGCCCTGATGAACAGACATTTTCCCAGGCCCTCATATGCATCCTTTATATATTGGTAGGCTGCCACCAAGTCCCCTCTGAGTCTTCTCTTCTCCAGGCTGAATAGACCCATGTCTCTCAGCTGCTCAGTGTATGGCCTGCTCTCCATACCTCTAACCATATGTGTAGCCCTCTTTTGGACCCTCTCTTAGGACATGGAACCATGCCATAGGAGACTTTCCAGAAGCCCCTGGAAATAATAAAGCTAAGAGGAGGGAATGAAGAACAGAGATGCAGCTATGTGTGCTACAGCAATCACCCAATCTGGGCTATATTACCTCAAGGCAGCAAATGCAGTCCCAACATATGACTTGTATTGCAGGAAGCCATCGGTTCTCTTGTTCTCTGGGATTTCCAGAGCAAGCTATGCCCAAACAGAAAGCATCAGTGCATCCTTCAAGCAAGGTTATCCCAGGAAGCCTTTGGTCCCAAGCTTCCTGTTTTCCCATGCCTGCGGGAGGCTGCGTGCTGGTTGGAATGGTGGGTTCTCCTCCCACTGACCATGACTTTGAGGCAGACCGATCAAAGTTCCTATCTGCAAAAAAGCAAAGATGAACACTTACCTCTCTACCAGGGTTTGTAAAGCTCAATGCAAGGTGACTTGCAGAGGAAGAAAGCTGGCTGTAGCCCCCCAGTTTGAAAGCCTTTGAATTAAATCCCTGCTAATAAATGTCCCAATGCTCTGCGTGAGACCATTCATCATTTTCAGTCCTTAGTATGGCCAAACAGGCACTAGAAACTGCAAAACAGAGACAGGCTCCACAGTCCCAGGCGCAAGGACAAAGCTGCAGAAAAAGATAGTAAGCTTTTTGGGGCAGATACTATTTCACATACATGAGACAAAAGAGGAGCAGAAGACCAAACAGCAGAAGTGACTCACCCATGGTCACTGAGTTGGTCAGTGCCAAAACTAGGAAGAGAAGCCAGATGCCAGCTCCTTCTGCTGGACTGGCCTGTCTCCTGGGCCACCTTCCAAAATGGAGGGGACTGGGATTTCTAGGCAAGTAGAGGAGAGAATTGCAATTTGCTGGGGGAGGAGAATGCATGGCCTCTTGGGCAGGCCACATGCACACAGCAAAAAGAAGCAGAACAAAAACTCCATTTCCCTTTTTTCTTTATTAACATTAAAATGATCAATAAGGATACAGAGAATTATGGGGGAGAGGTGCCAGGCAGGCAGTATGGAGTCCCTCTTTTTTCACATCAAAAGTCCACAAGTAGAACTTGATACTTAATGTGCCAGGAGTCTTCACTTCCTTGTCATGCCCTGTATATGCCTCCAGGACCACAGGAACTTGCTTGGGTGTGAGGGCTATGCTAATATGGTGTCCCAGCACAAACAAGTTAGACCTCTGTGCAAGACTGGATTAGATTAAAACTCCTGTTGCACGGGAATCAGGTTTGGGGATAAGGTTATGCCCATGCAGTCTTTTGTGGGTCATTGGCAGGGATTTAGGGCTTCCATATACCATATTTTCTTGCATACAATGCAATTTAGAATAAGATACATACCTTGTTTTTGAAAGGCAAAATGAATACAAAAGATCTTTCCTTGAGTAGCAGCAGCAAGGGAGAAAAGCCTACTCTTTGTTCTTCTTCCTGTGACTCATGCAGATTTTACTTTCATGTTTACCAGTCAGCAGAAGAAACAGCTCTTCCCATAATATCCTTACACAGAATGCAATTTCCAGCAGCTTTTTTGTGAGGGGAAAGTGTGTGTTGTATGCAAGAAATATGGTATATGTTTTTTGTTGGTGGGGTGGGGGGAAATAAACAAATCCAAACATATCAAAATTGTGCCTCAGGAAACAATGTTTTATTTGTATCCAACTAGGAGAAGTCATCATGCCAAAGGGAAGCTGAAAATACAACACCACACTATGAAAAATAGTACGAAAAGTACAAAAATAAGGAATCCTATATATCGCAGTAAATTACTAAAAATAAATATTGTAAACACAAAAATAACAGAACATCTGAAATCTACAGTCAACCATTTCTGCTAGCAGCTGAACAGTCTTTGGCTTGAAATCACATCTCCTCTGCCCATATAGAACCTGCTTAGAAGTCCACAATAAGACGCACTTTCTTTGTTTTGAACCAGCCATGTTCCACTAAGCCAAGGGCTTTTTGTAGGGATAAGAGAAAGAATATGAACATAACTTATCTCTCTCTAAAACACATCATGACCCTTGCAATGAAAGATCACCCCATTTTCACACAATCTCACTTCTTACCTCCCACCTAGCACACTCTAGCCATTGTGCTCCAAGTGTTTTGCATAAAAGGGGAAAACATTTTTACCCCCATTTGACAGGTGGGGAAACTGAGACACAGAAAGAGGACAGGCTGAATGTTCAGAGGGGCTGAATACCTACAGTGTTCGGCACCTCTAAAATTATCATGCTTTTGGCTCCCATGCCTGCTGCCCTTTCCATTGAACTATATTGCCTCTCAGATTTGAACCAGGTCTTGGGTAGTTGCACAAACAATTCGCTGCAGTTTGCAGCAGCCCTGGCTCATCCTTCTTCAAGAACGTATTAGAATGTTCTCCTGCCTGCTCAATGTTTTATGTTTTTGTGAAAGGAAAATTCCCTCCTTGGTAACAGAACAGGCAAATCATTGCTAAGGCAGGAAAGACAGTTTTCTATTATCTGCAATATCTAACCATGCTGGGTAGAAACTTCTGCCTTCCCAGAGAAGAAATATGCTCAACATCAAAGAGAACAAATAAAATACATCTCAATGGAAACACAAAAATACCCCATCACAAGTCCATTACAAAACATTCTCATTGGAGGAAGAGACAGAGCAGTGCCAAGAGTCAACAGATCAACGCCCAGCTATAGCACCTGATATGCCTTGCTTCATTTTCATATACTTGAGAGGAGCAGCCCATTGTCATTCCTGGCTTAAAAGTAACAAACCCGCTTTGTTATTTCACATTATTCTCAGTTCAGAAACTGGCCAATGCCCCCTTGAAAGGACTGCATTCATAATCTGGCATGATGTACAGTGTCTTACTGGAGTGCTTCTAGCTCCTAAACAGGAAGTTATGCTAAGACAGCAACAGTTCCCCAAACTGCTGTCCTATCTGCTGATACAAAGAAGTACATGAATTGTGCTTCTAAGGTGAAGAAGGGAAACAGTCTATGCAGACACAAGTATCCCATACACCCAAGCAGACTTGTAGGTATGTATGCAGTTTACATCTGGTTTGCATGATTCAAGTATAATTTTTGTCCTAGGTGAACTGGGAATATATTGGCTTCTGATATGCATCTGAGGCAGAGCAGGAAGGTGAGTATTAATGTAAGGATGCATCTTAACTAAGGTGTACCCAGTGCATCACCATGAAGCTCTGAGAGGTGGTACAAACAGTGTTTCTGAGAGAATTGTGCCTCAACCACAAACTTTGCAAAGTTCAGAGACAACGTTTGCTACAAGCCTGCTGCTTTTATGAGCAAGCTAACAAGCCCAGTTGGGTTTCTCTCCCATTTGGGAGAAAGTTCAGATCTAGTTCGTACAATGTGGTAGCCAACACTTCACCTAGTTCTGTTCTAAATGAGATGTTAAGAGTGCTTTCCATACAGAATTGTGCTGCTTGTACATATACAGGTTCCCATCATTTGCAATGAAAATGGACATCTGTATTAAAAAAATAAGAACTTGTTACTTATGAAATATTATTTCAAAAGAGATACAACTGGATAATCCTTTGTGTTAAAAAAAATATTTCAGTAGACAAATATTAATCTTACTAGTAAAAGAATGACACACAAATGCTTGGTATCAGATTAGACTGGCTTTGTTGCATTTTTTAAAGTTTTTTTTTTTTAATTTAAATTTTCCTAAAAACTGACTACACTTGATTCTATACACCTTGATTTTCATTTTTCTTTTTGCTACACTGTCATCTTGAGGCTTATAAAAAATAAGCATTTTTAAATGCTGAAAGAGAAATGTGGTGTGCTTTAAAATTGTGCTTCTGAAAATTACAAACTGCACAGAAGAGATTATTTTGATAATGAAGTTACCTCTAGCAGTATAAAAATATACAACCCCCCCCAAAAAAAACCCAAACAAACCCCCCACCCACCACATCCTCCCAGCTGAAAGCCAGGTGAAGGTTATTGTTTGTACCTCACTGATCACATGGTAGCTTACATTAAACAGTTACAGAAAACAGTCATTCTCACCCCTTCAGCTCCCCCATATAAATTTGCTGGTTTGGGGAAAAGAAATAGTAAATGTAGTTCCTTCACAGAGCCTTTTGTCGGTAAAATCATTATCTCTTCCTCATTGTGAAAACGGATGCGAGGGTGTGGGTTAGCTTGCAGTTAGCTCTGGGGCTGCCAATCTGGAAAGGAGAGGGCTCTTGAAATTGTAGGGATTAATTAGCAAATATAATCCATGTTAAAGTATGCTTATTTTCTCCCTAATACCCCCCAGCTCCTGAATACACATATGCAGACACACCCAGGTTCTTACTAGCAAGCATGTGCATACTTGTATTGACTGCAAAGGACCACACGCATGCTTGATGTTATGCAGAAGTGAGGCTGAAGCTACTGCAAAACAGGCCCAAAACCCTGATTCCTTGAAGTCAATGGCAAAATGCCAGCTGAGGTCAATGGGCATTTTAGCAGCTGACTTCAGCATGAGCAGGATAAAGCCCCTGGTGACTTCAGTGAGGGCGAGTGCCACAAGCACCCAGCACTCATGCGGGTAAACAGCTGATAGAGTCAGAGACTCCAGTATCCAGTCCCTTTGTCCCAGCCTCTCCATTCATTTCCATTTTCCCCCAGGGATACTGGACTTGAAATGACTGAACTGCTTGTTGTCCTCAGAAATCTCAGTCTCATTTTTCAATCTGCCCCAAGAAAATCATGTTAAATTTAAAAAACAAACAAACCTTCTCTGTACCGTTTTCTTAAACTGCATTAAAATATTAAATCAGCAACTACTCAACATAATTCCCCTTCCATGACTATATACATGAACAGACATAAGACCTCTCCAAACATAAATACAGCATATAAATCCAGACGTGACTTATTCCAGAGCTACTTCACAGACAAGAAAAAATTAAACCAACTCACCACACAGATTGAAGACACACTATTGAAATATTTGTGGAAGAAACACCATTTACTTTGGTGATGGTTTGTTTTTTCTATTACCACATGCACAACTAGCGGGCATCAGTGGCCTCTGATGGGGTGAACGCAGACAGGCACACGTTCCAACTACTACATTTAAAAGTTGGGGAGGAAAGAGAAGCTGGGAAGCGGGACTATACCCTGAGTCCCCAAGTATTTCCAGGCACATGCTCTGCTAGTCGAGTCAAAGTGGCACCTTTAACGCGATCCCAGCAGGTACGTCAATAGTACTCACCACTCTGGACAGATACTTTGTATCCTGCAGTTGCAGATTCGGACATCTGCACCTTGTACTTTTAAGAATTACCATGACTTTCATGGAAATAACAACAGCCTTGATCAGGGTAAAAGACTAGTGGAGGTCTTTAGCCCAATCTTGAAGAGGTTTGCTTTCTAGAGTGCTGACACTAAGCCTTGGACATATATAAATAGATACCAGGAACTGTAAAGTGACAATGCAGTGTCTTCATTACTCTAGCATTATCCTTCTATGGTGATGGAGTAAACGAGATTGTGGTTGGAAGGAGGAAGCTTAGTATTTTAAATAGGCTGCAGGTGGAACAGAAGGGGTTGGGACTGGGGATGGAGGTACACAGCCAAACGACACTGTTAGCTTTACTTGATAGGTAGCTTTATGGCATGCAGTAGAACTCCTAAGACAATCACTTTGCACAGAACACACAGCATCTCAGCTCTCTGTGGTGGAATCTCATGAGAACAAGTAAAGCTAAGAGTCTGCTCTCATCAGGGAGGAGGAACGGGGTTGGGGAGTGGGTCCATTGCATGGTTTGGTTGCAAAACCCAAGCCGCCGCCTCTTATCGCTGCCCAGCCTCCCGGATCCGGCATGCCACTGCCGTGATGAGCGCCGCGCCTTTACCGCTGCCATCTTCTGACTGGAGGAAGGTCACTTCACACTTCGGGGACAGCTGCTTCACCGTTTCGTGCATGATGGAGGCAAAGCTGCAGTGGGCGAAGGAAGAAGGAGGTGAGTACCTCCCTGTTTCTGCTCTGGGTCTGGGACCTCACCTGCAAGGAGACCCCTTGCAGCATCTGCAACCTGAATGCATCACCTATAGGGACTGAACTTGGGACCTCTGAGTCCAAAAGCACAGACTGATGCTGCTGGAAGTAAGCTCAGACTGATGCTGCTCCATTTGGACTGGCTGATGGAGACTGAAAGCCATGCTATCTTAGTGCGGGTTCCATTAGATACCCTCTAGCAAAGGCGAAGGGGTAAACCTGGTCTGGACTAGTTAAACTATAGACTACTGAACTCCTCTAGGATGAAGGGGAAGCTCTCCCTTCCCCACACCAACAGAGATTTTCCATGCCCCCAGGGCAACCTCAGGCTAGAAGCAGTCCCTGAAGTCTGTGTATCTGCTCTTCCTAAATGAGAACTGCCAGGCGGTTCCATAGAGCTGCAGATTCACTGGTCCCTCTCTCTTTCTACCACTTCTTGTGGGTTCATGCTGGCTGAGGTGGCAGGATTAGTTCAGTGGGTCTCCAGTGTAAGAGATGCCCAGGGGCACAATAGACACCTTCTCCTTTCTTCCTTGTCTATCCAGAGATAGCCTCCCTGAACTTTTTAGTCGAGTGTCCTCAAAGCTGATCCTGATCCTAATCCATCTGGGAGCTAAGGAGGGTCCTTCCTGAGCTCAGCCACAAGCCATTTATATTTCACATCAGTACAGGACACCAAGCGCTCCACACAGATGAAAGTCAGTCACAGAAATTCTGGACCTGTGAGGCTGGTTCCTTCACTGTGTTTCCTAGCCCTGTTTTTAAGTCACTACAAAGTGATGAACCAAAGGTGTTTCAATCACTGCCATATTCTACTGGCTGACAGATCAGAAAGACCCACCCCCTCCAGACAGTCAGCCTAATCTTGATTTTTTTCTGGTGTTTTTGTAAATGGCTAGGTGAAGAAAATCCTGAAATATTCCCAGCAGAAGGTAAGAAACAAGCTAAGAAAAGAAATATTCTCCATGTGAAACTATCTTTCTTTTTTGTGTGTGAATGAAAAATTTCACTTAGATATAGGATCTTCATTTGGACATAGCTTTTCTTTGTGGCTGTAGCAGACAGTACTACAAGAAATGGCCTCAAAATCTGGCAGAGGAGATTTAGGTTGGAGATTAGGAAGAAGTGTTGACTATGAGGGTGGCCAAGCATTGCAGCAGGCTGCCTAGAGAAGTTGTGGAATCTCCATCCTTAGAGATTTTCAAGAGCAGGTTGGACAGACACTTGGCTGGGATGGTTTAAATCAGGGATGATCCTGCCTTGTGCAGCGGGGCTGGACTGGGTGACTTTATGAGGTCCTTCCAGCCTGTCTTTTCTTTGATCTTATAACATCTGACGAAGCAAGTTCCTTCATTTCTTATGTTAGGTAGTTGCTTATGAAATGTCATGCCTCTCTAAATCAGTGAGTCTCTACCATACCTTTCACTTAATTGCCCTTGGGATACAAAAAAAATTCCATCTTTTACTCTCCCCCTGCCCTTCCGCAACTTTTCTCTCCCTTTCACTAGGAAGGGAGGCAAATAGAGAAAAAGGAAAAGAGAACCCAGAAAGAATGTTTCTCATTTCAATCTGAAGTGAAATCTTTCATCTTGATCAAGTTGAACAAAACAAATGCATTTCAGATCACTCCAAAAGCCCTTTTCCATCACTTGGATGCCACCCCAGCTCTGACTGTTACCTTGGCTTTTACTCCCTATTCCTCTCTGTCATATCTGAGGGGCTCACACGAGCCAACTTACTGAGGATGCAGCTTGTAGAGTGTCCCATCTACGCCAACGGTGACCTTGAGGAAGTCCAGTTGCCGGTTCTCCCTAATTTTGTCCACCACAGCTGCCATTCCAGCCCCGCAAAGCTGAGCAGCACGCCGGGCCACCACAGTGCACACCTCCTTCACGATGATACTGTCATCACACGTGCTCTCCAGGCCAAGGTGCTGGAGGATGGAGCGGACCTGCAGCAGGGCCAGGCAGTCGCTGGAAAGACACAAAGGTGTTAGAAGCCCGAAAGGGTTGGAAGGTGGTGGTAGAAGGCATGAGAACAGAAGCTTTATATGTCCTTGGAAGTACTGATCTGCTCTGAACTATAACTCGTCTGGGATCTGAGATGAAGCAGGACTTTTTTCTTCATGGGCATCAATGACTACATACACTAAAAGCTTCAGCAGGCCAGCATCTGCTTCCAGTGGCACATGGGCCAACTCTGCTTTCAGAGGGACTGGACTGGAACCTGCAATTGATGGGAATTCAGTGACTAATTCTGTTGGATGATGCACAGGGAAGAAAAGACTTCAGGTTGCTCTCCCAGAGTGGAGTTGGCCCTAGCTAAGGGGAGCAAAACCGTTATTTTACTGGTGGTTTAGCACTGGAAAAGACTAGCTAGAGGTGATGGTGGAATCTCTGTCCTTGGAATTTTTTAAAAGCAAGTTAGACAAACACTGGTCTGGGATGGTTTAAACAAGGATGATGCTGCCTTGAGCTGGAGACTAAACTAGATGCCTGGAGGTTCCCACCAGCCCTATGATTTTATATTTATTACTAAATTCTACCTCCTGGAGGGCAGATCTGCTGCTTAATAAAAGGGCCATGTTTTACACAGGCTGGGATTTTTAAACGGGGCCAGGCAAATTAGATACAAGAGTGCTGTTGCATTACAGTGAGATTTGGGTACATAAATCCTTTTGGTTCCTTTGAAAAACCCTCCCATTTTACTCTGCAGATCTCCCTATAATAGCTAGGTTTACATCCTAATCATAGTGGTCATTTCAGGATAAAGCCAGTGATTGTAAGTGCAAAAGTAGCTGGTCCATTCAACAGTAGCTTGTTTAGATCCAGGGTAGTGATAATCAAGGGAACACTGTGTTGCTCCCAGATCTGGGTTCATCCTCCCATCGCTAACAAAAGGCACACAGTCTCCTTGTGTCCTGCAAGTTGACATTCACACTGTCACCATCAGGGACTCTCAGATTCCATCTACACAGCAATCTGCTCAGGGACCTAATGAAGAATCAGAGACTCTTTACCCCATGATCCCAAAGCACCCTCCTCCCCCAGCATGGATGACAAAAGGGAAGTAATGGTTCCCTAGGCACACATCTACCCAATGTCTTCAGAAAGGAGGAACAAACAAAGGAAGGAGAGAAGAAAATTAGAGGCAGGGCAGTACCCTGCAGCAAGAGAACCCTGACCAGGAGTTTTTCAGTGAAAGACAGATCCTACATGGATACAAGTGTGAAATCAGCAGGAGTTCAAATGCCAAGAGGGGCTGGCCCCTCTTGGTTGATGAAAAGACACTGGGAATGCTCTTCACAAGCTGGCTATGTCTCAGGCTTCTTCACTAGCACAGAGGTGGGTGTCTGAGCCCGTCCCACTCTTTTTCCTTTTGAGCTCACCTCTCAATCTGAGACAGGAACTTTGTCTCGAATATGCCCCGGGTCTTCAGCCTTTCAGAGATGCGTCCCCGGAAGAGCAGCCCCCGCTTGGTGAAGTCAATCAGGATATTTCGGACAATCTCGCCTAGGTACATACCACTGATCATCTTCTCAAACCTGGAGAGGACAGGGCAAGCCTCAGCATCACAGTGGAGTAGTGAGGGCACTGAACTGCCACTCAGTGGAGCCGGGTTCAAATCCAGACCTGCCAGAATCTCTGTTATAACTTGAGCAAGACGCTGAACTTTGCCTGCACTTCCAGTTCTGCCTCCCCCAGATGGAATGCAGCAACAACCTCAAGACCCTCAAGTCCCCGGTCACTGCGCAGTCCAAGCCAAGATCAACAGATTACCAACAGCTATTCAAGGGATGATTTGGCAACATCAGTTCATAGGCTGGACTGTGGCACCTGCCTCACCTGAGCAGCCTAGCAAGGACAGGGAGCCTTACCCAGTGCAAAACAAGCTCTTGAAAAGCTTGCCGGGAGGGGTGGAGAAAGAAGCAACTGGGTCTAAAGAAGGGTTTGTATAGGGATTCTAGGCTGTGCTCTCAATACCCCACATCTCTCAGGACTCTGTCTTCCCAGGGGTAGAGTTGCATCAGGCTTGAGTCTCTACAACCCAGGAAGAAGGCAGCAAGATGGGAGTTACAGACCCAAGATATTAAAACCTGACAGCATCCCTGTGAGGTTGTAGTGTGATTCCCACTTCCCAAAAGGGAAATTAGGGCACAGAGAAGCAGAAAACACATGTGTGTTCAGGCCTTGTCCTGGCCACCTGGAAGTCAATGGTTATTTTGCCATTGACTTAAGTGAGAACAGGGTTGGGCCCTGGAAGGTAGTGAGAAGGATGCAACCAAGTCTTCCCTGTAAGCCGGGGACACAACATTTTGCCAGGAGGGGAAAGAGGGGATGGTAAACTCCAGCACCAGAACACACCTTTGTTTCCCAGGATTCAGGGAATGCTCATCCACTGCCACATCAAACTCTGTCCAGAAATCATCTAAGCAGCCGCTATCTCCAAACGCCCCCCACTCCATGTTCACACACATCCTGCCCTCCTCTCCTTCCACCAGCTCCACATTCCTCATTTCTTCCATGTAGCAGGCATTGCTGCCTGTGCCTGTGAAAACAAGGACCAGGAAGGTCTACAACTTACAGGAAACATCTTAGGCTTTCAGGGGAATGGATGGAAAAGCAAACATGGTTGGAAAAGGAAAGCTTGGCTGCTCTTGACAGCTAATGCAGATTTGCAGCCTCAGGGGAAGCGGGCTCTATCCCAAATGCTGATAATAACACCTTATTCAGAAGGCAGCTACACCCTCTGTAGCATGTAGTCACACATCTATTACTAATGTTGCCATGATATTTTGCCACACTAAAGACTTACTCAAGAATTTACTGACGAAATGACTTTTCCCACCGGGAAACACCATTCCATCAAAATCAAAAGTTTTTTGCGGAAACGAATGAATTTCAATAAAGGTTTGCTAAGAAAAAATAAAGTGCTTTGTTAGTACCTGTGATGGCATTGTAGAAATACATGTCTTTTTTACCTCTGAAACATCAAATATGCAACATTTTCCAGTCACTGGGAAAAGGGGGAAAGATGCAGGGCATGCACCGAATCAAGAGTATGGATCAGGGAGAGAGGTGAACTGGGTGTGTTTGCCATAATTTTTAGTTCTTACCTACTATGAGCCCAACTTCACAATAAGGATCTTCATAACCACAGGTCATCATGGTGCCTACAGTATCATTCACCACTGCCACCACGTCCAGGTCAAACTCCTGAGGATGAGAGGGCCACCATGTGTTACTCTGGAAGGACACCACTGCTTACACTGCTTTTCACTGCTGCATTCATGGTAACTCCATCTATCTGAGCAACTGTACAGCAGAATGGACCTGACTTGTCAAAGTCTCCCCATCTAAGAAGCCCCCCTCCCCAGAATCTCCAAGTGCTTCAATAAGTGCTTATACAGCACTGTCGATTTAAAGATCCCAGCATTGTGAAAAATGCATCTCATATGACATATCCAAAGCCAGGTAAAATGGCACATAACAACTCATTTACACTGGCAGGTAAAAGTACTGGAATGTCCCTGCTGAGATTTGAACCTGCAAGTCTAGGACATTTACCTAGCACTGTTTTTGGGGTGTTACAGTCCCTCCAATTCACAGCAGCAGGTAAGGCAATCAGCTACCACTACCAGCAGGGGAAATTCTTGATCTAATTCAAGCTCTCCAAGGTCAAACCATTTGCTCTGGAGGTCTTAATGACCACAATAGAGTGGGTGTTACATATGTAGACATTCATCTAAACCCAATGCTTAAAGGAACTCATTTCCTTTTACACTCCAACTGGACTTTCCAAACAGCGCTAGATTAGTTGTGGGACTTGTCACAAATCTACTTTCCATTGAGGGCTTGTCCTACAGATATTCACCTCTCTCCTGTGAATCGCTTCTTTCAACAGATTCACCACATCTTCTCCTTCACATCCACTGGCGTTGAAGCCTTTTGTCCATTTCAAAAGTATCCCCTAAAAGCAAAATAATAATTTTTAAAAGTACAATAAAGCATCAGAAAAAAGAGATTGTTGATAGTTAGCACCAAGAAAAGACTTATAGGACTCTATCATCTGCTCTAGAAAGAGTTTTCTTATAGATACATCAATTTATGTGCACGGCTAAAGTAACATGGCCAAAGTTTAAAACCAACTAGTAATTTTAAGTGTCTGACAGATCTTAAGATGTCAAGTTAGACACTCAAAGAATCATTTACCATTGGTAAAAAAGTCTTGTTCTAGGTCAATATGTTAAAAACTTATGTCATTGCTTCACCCATTAATTACAAGAAGATATAAAGACACCAATTGGCCTGAACAGTGTTTTAAATAGAAAGTGCTAAGAATAAGATAGCAGAATGTCTCATGTTTTCAGGACAGGTATTGTTCTCATGGATTTTAAACAATACTGTCTTTTTTGTTGTTTCAGTGCCACAAGTCAGCAACACAGTGGGAGGCACCAGTAGCTACCTCAGGTCCATGTGCATCCTTAGAAATGCCATCCTAATAGTATCTCAGTCAGTTCTATTAGAGGCTCACTGAAATATCTACAGTGAACAGCTCTTTGTTCACAGTATGTTGAAATCTTAACCCACAACAAATACAGTTCCTTTCTCTGCCAATACAAGCTAATTATTAGGTATGAACACAAGTCACTTGATAAAGATTACCTCGTCCAAGTTAGTCTGTTTGCAAGGGAAAGAGAAGGTGAATCCCAGGGGAAGTGACACTCCCTTCATTCCCATGTATTCCAGGAAATCAGAAATGCAGTGGACGATGTGGTCGAAGAGCTGTGCACAGAAAGCCAAGAGGAAGCTGTTTTAGTAGGCACGTAATACTTGATTAAGTGCCAGGCCACCCAATAAGCATGAAAATCTTGTTGGCATTACACAAAGTCAATTCTGTTTAACTAGCTAGAACTTCAACTCAATTGCATAATGCAGTAGTGAAAATAAAAATCCTAAAAAAGCCACCACCTCCCTTGAGATCTTCCTACTCCAGTTGCTAATTCAATAGTGGCATTATAGACAGGTCTTATGGCTGCAGTTTAAAACAGTCATTCAAGGTTTGATCCTGAACACTGAGTTCAGAGGGAGGTGGAGAGACACTGAAAGACAGCCAATGAAGAAACACAAAGTCCAGAGTCAGGAAAACCCAGCTCCAAAAATCAGCAAGAGCTTGAGTCCAGGATGGGACAGGGTGGGGCTGGGCATCCCATATCTCCAATGAAATCCCAAGCCTAAAACTGACTCACCTCCTCTCCTGTCCCTTGCATAATATCCTGTGGGATGGAGTAGATCTTATTGTGCATTTCAACACCACGCCTCATACCATTTCGCACACGCACCAGCAGCACACGGAAATTAGTTCCCCCGAGGTCCAGAGCCAGGAAGTCTCCTTTTTCTGAAACCCACATGAAAGCAGTTATTAATACCATCCACAGCAGCCTCCAACAAATGATACATCTATCCCAAAGATAGGCCCAATTCCACTCTCCCAACCACACTGACTGGTACAAGCAGGAGCCTCCATCTGTCCTGAAAAGAGGGAGGCAGAGCAATAGGGAGGAAAGACAGGATGGCAGGATGAATTCCAGCATCATGGAAACAGAAGTTGTGGGAGCCTGAGAAGTGTGGGCAGATTCAGTCCTCTGGGCTTGCCTCTTCTGTAAATCCAGAGTGAAATACAAGAGCGCCAGGTCTCCATCTCCCATACTGGTACTGCAATCATGCCTGGGGTCCCTGACTGAGACAAGGCTCAATTGAAGTAGACAAGGGACCAACACATAGGAGATAGTCCCTGCCTCAAAGACCTTCCTGTCAAAAAAGACTAGGCAAGGTCTGGAAGGAAACCCAGCAAGGGAAAGTGAGCAAATCCATATAGGAAATGAGTGGCAGAGCTGGAAACAGGTCTTTCAAGTCCTTGCCCACCACCCACCCTGTTGAACTATCATGCCTCTAATGTTAGTCAAGCACTTCCTTCCCTTCAGAATTTGCCTTGAAGACCTCAAATGAAATCAGATATGAGCACATGTTCAGTACAAGAACAAAACCATGAGGTGACAACCCCTTAAGACCCCCAAAACTCATTTCCTCGAAGGCTTTAAGGAGTGTTCTTTAATGCCCAGGACGTCTTGAGATCCCACTTCATAAGCAAGCTCGACTGGGCTAGAGGAGAGAATGGAAAGCCAGTCTAACTCTTAAAACCCAAGCAGGGGAGGCTCACAATGAAACCTCTGCCTTTCTGTTCACACACAGGGAGCGTTACCTGTTCCATCCGGAGTGGAACACACGTAAGTGGGCAGCATTTTCACCGTGGCCTCTGGGTGCATCTCCTTCCTCAGGCCCCTCTCCATCTCTACCCTCATCCTCTTCTTCACTTCCAAAAGCTGTTCCTGGCTCAGTTTCAGCGCTTCCAGGGTCTTCTGCCTGGCCTTATGCTGGGCTGCAAGTCTGTAAGCCACCGCGGTGACCATGGCAGCTCCTTTGCCACTCCCGTCTTCTGACCGGATGAACCGGATGTCACAGTCTGGTAGGAGCTTCCGCACCATCTTGTGCAGGCGTCGAGCAAAACTGCAAGGGGGCAGAGAGGCTGGGGTGACACCAGGCCCAACACTTTATGGGTGGACAATTTTGGAATGCCCTTCCCAGCAACTGTGCACTGTGCCCCCCTGGAGATTTCAGGCACTTCAAAGCAGCCCTCCCAAACCTCGCATCACCCCAGGAAGCAGAAACCAAGATTCACGGGCAGGATTGGATGTTTGGCCTTAAGACTCCTAAGCCAGTGCCAGCCCTACAAGGCCATGCTCAGCTTAGCACATTGGAGAACCCTCAAGCTGCACCCTCAGGATTTTCAAGAGAAACTTAGAAGCTTATTGCAAGTCAGGCACTTCCTTTGAGTGTGTTTTAAGATCTGCCTTTGCTTGTGCCTTATCTCCTGTGCTGTTGCTTGGGACTGTGGATAGCAAGAGGACTTTATCATTCACGCACACTCACATACACAGCCATTTTACCACAAACATGCAGCTAGCCATCTGTCCCCCAAGAGACTTACTGAGGGTGTTTCTTGTACACCGTGCCATCCACACCGACAGTGGAGCGTAACCTCTCTACACCCTTGTTCTCCTTGATGCGCCGCAACACGGCAGCGAGGGTGGCGGCGCACAGGTCCGCCGAGCGGGTGGAGACAATTTGGCAGATGTGTGTGTGTGTATTTTAAACAAGAATCCATTATAAGT